TACCGTTACTCCTCTGTATTCCTCCACTCTTTCTCCTTGACCTTTTTTCCTAATCGGCACCAATACTCCCTCCTTCGATTCCTCCGGCCATTCCTCCCCCCTCTACACCCTATTGCACGTTCTCCAAACCCACTCCTCTATCTCCTCCCCCTCGTACTTCCATACCTCACTCGGGATTCCATCCACCCCTACCGCCTTCCCATCTTTTGCCATTCTCAGAACCCATTTAATTTCCTTTTTTTCTAGATCACTTTCTCCCTCGTTCCTCCCCTTTTTTTCCTCTCTCTGTCTCACCCTTCCTTCTACTCTCCCTAACAATCTCTTAAAAAATTCTTCCCATTCTTCCATTCTTATCTCCTCATTTATACCCCTACCTCTCTTTCTTTCCCTGTTTATAATTTCCCATACCTGCCCTTCTGACTTTGCTAACTCTACTTTACTCCTCCATCTCTCATTTTCCTCTTCCTTTTTCCTTTCACACATCTCTCTATATTCCCTCTTTTCTCTTATATATTGTTGCTTTCCCTCCTCTTCTTTTCTCCATTCTTTTAATGCTTTCCTTACTCCCCTCTTCTTCTCCCTACATTCCTCGTCCCACCATCCGTTTCCCCTCTTCCTTCCTTTCTCTCTCTCTTCTATCCTTTCTAACGTCTCTCTTATTCTATCCTCTAGCTCTCCTATCTTCTCCCTTTCCACCCTTCCTAGCTGCCTCCTAAAGCTTTCTCTTCCCCTTTTATCCCATCTCCCTCTGGACACCCTTCTACTTTTGCCTTTCTTCGCTCTCCTTTTTCCCTCCCCCTCTCTCACCCATACTATCATTGGGTGATGATCCGAGTCCACTTGCTCTCCTATTTCCAGTCTCTCCACTTCTTCCTCCATATCCTCGTTTACTAGAACAAAATCAATCACTGACTTCCCTCTCCCCCCTGTGTACGTCCATTCCTCCTCTTCATCTTCCTTTATTCCCCCATTTATCACCCACCATTTTCTCTCTCTAATACATTCTATTAGCCTCTCTCCTTCCTTATTTACCTTTTTGTCCTTAGAGCTTCTCCTATACTCCCCCTCATCCCCGTCTGTCCAATCTATCTTCCCTCCGTCTTCTCCTATCCTCGCATTAAAATCTTCCCCGATTAACGTCTTTACCCCATCCTTCCCTTCCATCCACTCCTTCATCCCTTCCAATTTCCTTTCCAAGTCTCCATTCACATACACTCCCACCACTCTCATACTATCCCTCCCATACTTAATTCTCCTATCTCTACTATCAACCCTTCCATTTCTATCTCCTCCTTATCTGCCTGCTCCACTATCTCTGTTCTAATACCTAAAATCATTCCCCCCATTGCCCTCCCCCTCCTGCTTTTCCTCTTCGCCTCCTGCATCACCCACTTATACTCATTTGGCAATTTTCTTCTAATTTTTTCCCAGTCCTTTTTCTCCACCCAGGTTTCCATTAATACCATTACTTCCCATTTCTCTAATCTTTTCCAAAATTCCTTATCTTTGTTCCCCAGCCCCGCTACGTTCCAAAATGCAATCCTCATTCCTCTTCTCCCCTTCCTTTCCTCTCCCCCCTTCCTCTTATGACACTCTTTCCCCCCTCCTGCCCTTCCTTCCTTGCCCTTCCTATTCTGTTCCCCCTCCTCGACTCCAGCCTCCCCTTCCCCTTCCTTCCTCCTCTTTTCTCTCTCCCCTCTTCCATTCCCACCCCTCCTTTTCATTTCCCCTGCTCCAGTCTCTTGCCTACATTCCTCCACTCTCCTCTCTCCTCCTTTTCCTGTTCCTCTCTCCTTTCTATGTCCCGCCAACTTCTTCCTCTTC